AGGGAATGGCTGGAGCTGTGTCAGGGCAGGCTCAGGGTGGATCTCAGCCAAAGGTTCTTCCCCCAGAGGGTGGTTGGCACTGAACAGGCTCCCCAGGGCAGTGGGCACAGCCCCAAGGCTGCCAGAGCTGCAGGAGGGTTTGGATGATCCTCTGGGGCACAGGGGGGGACTCTTGGGGCTGGGCCTGTGCAGGGCTGAGGGTTGGGCTCCAGGATCCTCGGGGGTCCCTCCCAGCTCAGCACATCCTGGCATTCTGAGCTCACTCCTTGCCGCGATGTCTCCGGGATAACCAGTGGCAGGAACCACCTGAAGCCAACAGGAGCTTTGCAGAAATCATCCCTCAGGCCATGAAACACTGGAGGGTGTCACTGACTGTGTGTTCCTGTGGGTCTCTCCCCGTGCAGGACCCCAGCCATGATCGGCTGCTCCTTCGTGGTGAACAGGAAGTTCTTCGGGGAGATCGGGCTCCTGGACCCCGGCATGGACGTGTACGGAGGGGAGAACATCGAGCTGGGCATCAAGGTTGGTGACACATTTGCCAGAGAAATGGCACCCAGCAGGATTTAAGGAACCCAAAGTAACGCTGTGACAAGTTGGCATGAGCAGTTATTGGAATACATCAGGGGGACTGAGCAGGGGTGGGATTTATAGCATTTTAATTTCGGTTTAAGGGGGAAAATGACTTGGTTTTAGGGGTGAGAGGAGTTTTTTGACTTGGATTCTTGTCTGTCTGACCTGATGCAAAAAGCTACCGACATAAAGTGGCATTTCCAGCTTAAACAGACCCTGGTCATGTTGTCACACTGGCTGTAAAGTTACAGGTGTCTTAAATACCAGGAAGAACACAGGGCTGTTTTTGTGGTGTGACAGTCTTGAGGGAGGGTGATGGGACTCTTGTGAGTATCTCAAAAGACACAGAGCCTGAAAATAGTCTCCAGGTTGTACATCTGCAAAGAAAACATGTTCACAAACAGACAAAACCTGCTTTTCCCAGTGAAACCCCACGCTTGCAGAGCCGCCTCATCGTTACACGCTCCACGGTGACAACATCACTTGATTACTATGTACAATATTAGATATGGCTTAGTGATTCGAGTGTTTGCACACACTGAAGTGATTCATAAGCAATGAATTCAGTGTTCAGAAGCAACCTGGGATGGCAGAGTCTGTGGAGATTCTTCCAGGCACGGTTTGGAGTACGGCACTTGTGCGTT